AAAAATATAAATCCTATAACTGTAGTCAAGAAGGTAGAAAGGTTTATAAAACGTTTTTGTCGGAAAATTTGGCTTTGGAGTCATATACCGGATTAGAAGCCTTATTCTCTTACTCTGTGAACCTGGACAAGTTACTTCTCTGTGCCTCAGCTTCCTCACCTATAAAATGAGGTTAATAATAAAATCCTCCTCCTGATGTTTATTGTGGGGATGAAATGAAACAGTACATATCGAGGGCTCAGAACAGTATCTGATTCAGAAAAATGCTCAGTACATAAAAGCTATTGCTATTATTACTATTAATCTCAGTTGACAATGTGGACAACAAAATATACACAAAACTTCCCCGAATCTGTACTACTTGATTGCGAATGTCATCAGTCATGTTAGACTGGTTTTTTTTAAGCTAAAGAAGGTGGGGGTTACTTTAGAAAGAGGGGTCTTTTCTACCTTGCATGCATCAATGTTCATAATAATAAATGTACAATCAACCTAACTGCTTTCCTGTTAGAAATAAAAAATATGGGAGAAAAGTAGTTTGGGGTATAAAACTGCTAAGCCATTTAAAAGAAACTGAAGACTAAAGACACCAGGAAAAAACCTAGTTATTCAACAAAATGGTTAAAAATATTTTTACAATAGATTTAATAATCAATTTTTTAAAAAGGTTTTATTTATTTATTCGAGAGAGAGTGAGAGAGAGAGCACGCGCTCGCACTAGCGGGAGTAAGAGCAGAGGGAAAGGGACAACCAGACTCCGCACCCAGCACGGAACTTGATCCCACAATCCCAAGATCATGACCTGAGCTGAAATCAAGAATGAGTCGCTCAACCAACGGAGCCACCCAGGCATCCCAATAACCAATTTTTAAATTAAAATGCCCTAGGGTGCCTGGGTGGCGCAGTCTGTTAGGCACCTGCATCTTCCTTGGCCTCTGGTCATGATCTCAGGGTCCTGGGATCAGGCTCCTTGCTCAGCGGGGAGTCTGATTCTCCCTCTGCCCCTCACCCTGCTCATGCTCTCTCCCTCTCACTCTCTCAAATAAGTAAATCTTAAAAAATAAATTAAAATGCCCTATTATGTTTTGTCATGGTAATTCGTGAATTTTTAGTAAACATGAGTTTTTAAAAAGATAAAGTTCAAAATCATTTTTATCTAAAGTAAATACCAAATGACACTAAAAACTTTAAATAAACTGAATCTAGCTTCATAAAATACAATTCCTGAAAAGAGATAAAAGTTCTAGGTGGATTTCAACTGTATAATTTCTCACTCAGAAAAAGTTAACTTCATATGACATACTAAAAATAATTTTCATCAAATTTTTAAGGTTTCTGTGAATTCTGAGAGCTACTATCCCCTCCAAAAAAATGTTCTCTGGTATTCATCATTCAGAGTATCATATCTATAAATATAGTTTACATGCTTATGAATGTTATGTATATGACAGATGCTTTGCCATCTTTTTATGGTCACTCAGTCTCAGAATAGAATGAAGCAATACTCAGCAGGAAATTACATAACACCATCATATCAGACAAAGCCACAAGCACTTAGTGGAAGCAATTTTAAGACTAAAGAGATAAGGGGCGCCTGGGTGGCTCAGTCGTTAAGCGTCTGCCTTCGGCTCAGGTCATGATCCCAGGGTTCTGGGATTGAGCCCCACATCGAGCTCCCTGCTCAGCGGGAAGCCTGCTTCTCCCTCCTCCACTCCCCCTGCTTGTGTTCCCTCTCTCACTGTGTCTCTCTCTGTCAAATAAATAAATAAAATCTTTAAAAAAAAAAAAAGACTAAAGAGATAAGACCATATCACCCTTCCCCAATAGTAGACTGTATTATATTCCTTTTTAAGTCTTTAAATTATAATCCTTATTCTCAGATAGTAAAACACCACTCTCAGGAGTTTATTGAATATTCACACAGAGCTTTACCATTTTCCCTGGTAGAAAATAAAACAATCTCCTGTAGTTATTACCCTGCAAAGGACATAAGCATCCACTAAAAAGCAGTTGCTATATATGAACGCAGACTCCTCACTACCCTTAAGAAATGGAAAAACCAGAAAAAAATAACAGTACTCAAGTGTTTAGCTAGAAGAAAAAACTGAAAAAATTAAAACACTGTTAAAGAAGAAAATAAGGAATACTACCACAAAGATTAAAAAAAAAAAGTGATGCTAAATCAGAAAAATAACACAAGTGGAAATTCACCTTTCCTCATATTTACTTCCTCACCCAGCTGGACAGAGATTTTCTGCCCCAATTAGAAGATATTCTAAAACAGGGCCTAAAATTAATATTAAGCATAACACAACATCCTACTTTTATGGCAATGATACTACTGAGAAAAAACTTGGACTTTAGCTCAACTCACACAAAAAGGCCTTCTTCCTCCTAACCACTCTAAAGCCCAGATACCAAGATGAGTACATACGGTCCTTGCCTTGGAGAATGCATGAGCAAGCCAACTATTATCATAGGATGATGCCGTATGGGCTATAAGTGTGCACTAGGCATAAAAAGCACTTGGAAACACGATAAAGGTGACCAATAATTCTGCCCTAGGGATGTGGGCTAGGGTGAGCACAGTATCTGAGCTGGGTCTCACAGAATAAATTAGGCAGGAAAAGGGGCGGACAAACATTCCAGGCTAAGGAAATGGTCTATAAATATCAATAGCGATTCTTCCGATATCTCTAGGAAAAAGAAAAGTTCAATAGCCACAAACAAAAACCACAATGCTCACAGCCTTTTTGGTTTTGTAATACTGCCCTTTGGAAAACAAAAGGACTTGGTCAGTAATCTATTCAGTTAAATAGCCAATAGAAAGCAATGAGATTTTAAATGCTGTCATTACAAACAATAGCAAAACTGTCCATGAAAGCAGAGGGAAAAGATCCAATAAAATGAAGATAATATTAAATGATTCTATAGAAAAAGATCTGAAAAGCACTTATCCAATTAAAATACCATTATTAATAGTCATTCTTTAGAAAGGATCTTGAGTACTGGATAGGAAAAACTATTTGGTAAAGTTTAACGCGTGGGATCCTTTATTCACTGGGTACACTTGAACACTAAAGATCAAAACAGGCTGTTACTTCAGAAACATAATGGCCTCTTCCTTCCTCCAGATTTTTGGTCGACTTCTCTCTGTGGTCTCCTATATCCTCAGAAGTGATATAAACTTAATTGCAAAGACGAGAGCCATTTTATTCAGAAAAAAATTTTTTAATTTGCCTTTTGATATGGACTTTGGATATATAAACAGTAATACAAATCACATGGCTTAATCCAAAATCTAGGCCCATATTACCCTGTGAATATTCCTTAAAGGCTTAAACCTGTGACTCATCTGAGCTTCTTAGCTCATAAGTATGGGTTTCAGTAGCCTTCCACTGAAAGTTGCTAGCCAGCATCCAAGAAGAGTTGATTTACTTCACTTGAGGGGAGTAATTTATCCCCAAGCAACCAGGACTGGAGAGCCTCCTGGTACAAGAAACAAACATAAACCAAAGAAAATGACAAATAATTCACTTAAAACCCCTCCTATTCAGAGAACTCCTGTGACCTTACCTCACTGCATGTAATTCCACTAGCTTGGTTCACCTCTGTCAACCTTAGAGGCTAAGAGAAAGGAAAGACTGGCCCTAGAAATGGAAATAACAAAGTCTTCCCTATTTATATCTTAATCAACTGCCCAAATTCACAGGTGACCACCTAGAGATCTCCTGTTTCTTTACAAAACACAAGAATTCTTGTCCTCCAAGATGTACACTGAACAAACACTGAACAAATTGGTATTGTTTTAAAAACATTTTTGTGATGTACAAGGACTCAAAAGCCCAACCCTCATTTTATAGTTGAGGAAATGAGGCACAGAAAAGTGTTCTGTCCGATGAACTGGAGATGATCTCAAGTTCCATCCAGCTGTAATAGTCAAGCTCTAAGAATCTAAAGAGTTGGCTCTTTGGCAGCCTGGAGAATTCTGCAATCTACCTTTCTTCAAGGAGCATTTGAAACCTTACCCCAACCTGGGGGCAGGGTGGTGGGGGGTGTGCCAGGCAAATGGTCAAATCAGGAAAAACAGAGAATAGAATGACTGGAGACTGGCCAAAATTATCCTATCTACAACTTCTGTCCCAAGATCATCAGGAACTTTATCAGGGTGCAGTCATTTCTCTTCCATTCTGAATAGAGGAAATAAAATGTAATAGCTAGAAAATACACCCAGAGCCTAGGAAAAAAATAATAAGTTCTCCTTCACTACTCTCACAAATCAACTAGCAGGTCTTCATAAGAAAGCAGTGGAACCTGCCGAAAAGTGTTCTGGAGGCTCTCTGTGAGCTCAGGCAAGTTACTCAAGTTTCACACCTGTCTTCTCACCTGAAAAAGAGAATACCACCACCTGCTTCTGTAAGGCTGTTGTGGGGTTTGGGAATAATATATTAGGGAAAAGGTCCTTGGAAATCATCTTATACACGGTTAACAGCTGTGACGAAATGCTCATTTGGACTTTCTATACTTTTCAGTTCATAGCATGTAATCCTTGTCTCCATTACACAAGAATTACAAGTAAGTTTTAAATATTCTGGCTATTTCTTTAAAGAATTCTATTCCCTCACTTCTAAAGTGAAAGCTCTCTGAGATGATTAGGAAAAGGAACCGGCAGCCTCAAACGGGGAGGTGCTACGGAGTCCCCCCACAAAGGAAACCGCCCCCTGGACCCATGTCAGCTCTCTGAGGGCAGGGACTGCTCTGTTTGACTCACCGCTGTCGACTAATTTTCCTAACGCAAACGAATCGTTGCAGACTTAGGCATCTCCTAACAGCTTACATGACACCCAAACACTGCCCCACGATACATCCTGTACGACAATATTGAGTCATACGAAAGTATTAAAAGTTTAACATTACAACGCAGTTCAGTTATAATACTAAAATCAAAGAAAAGGTGCTTTAAGTCGGGTGCCTATGAGGTAACCAGAACGAAGTCACACCTTTAACAATAAGGGACCAGAAACACACAGATGTCGACAGGGAGTGAACCTTCCGCAGGACTTTCCACTGAACCGGCGCGATCGTTTCTGGCCCCAGATCGGGATGGGATTCGAACCCAGAACTTGTCTCAAAGGACGTGCCAGAGCCGCTCCAGAGTGGAAGAGGCCTCTAAGGCCAGGCGCCCCTCGTCCGAACTTTCCGGCTCGGCTCCGGTCCGCTCCCCGGGGTAGCAGAGCGGATCTCGACGCGGAGGCGCGCTCGGACGGACGAGGGTCGCCGGCCCTTTGTCCCCCGCGGAGGCGCAGAGGCGAGACAGGAGCTCCCTCACGTCAGGAAATAATGACAGCTCGAGCGCCTCCGCT